TTGCATTTAGCTGAGCAGAAAAGTGTTTAGTTCCTCTTCACCCTGGGTGAGGGATGTGCGCAATTGTTAGAGGTGCTGTATGGTGCACATGGTCACAGTTTCGATCCAGTGCTCCGGACTAACTACTTACCAATCCTCTGTGGTCTCGGCAGGTTGTTAGCAGGCTTGACTGCGAGAGTAACAAACACTGACTTGATACATTGGAAGGTCACTCACTACAAGACTTTATATAGTCTATGCATTCAATGACGCTAAAATGCTTGATGGAGTCGAATCCGCAACGCATCTATAAGATGGTGGCGAGCGTTAAACGGTTTATCGGTTAAACAGTTTAGTGTTTTAACCATTCTGTGCATTAGTGTACTGCACTTCAGAACACTTTTTCACGGTGGAGCCGTAAGGCACAAGTTTTTAACGTTTTTGCAGCTTCGGTATTCGTATGAAGGAACAACGAAACCAATTCCAGGACATCACTGATAACGAACTCGTAATGAACGCAAATGTGATTATTGATGTCTTAGAGAACCGCTTGAAACTCGTCCCAATGCCCGATATTCGGTAAACTTTTGCTTTGCTTTCTGGGTGCCACTTTTATCTTGCAATACTCGTTTTGAATTTTGTTGTACGTGAAAAAACTTTTAGAATCATTTTGGATCCATTTGAAGATTTGACTGTTCTCCAAGCACGTAACGGTCAGTGCTTCACAAAGGAAATCATTTTCGGAAATACCGTTCGAAGTATGGTGAATTTAAATGGTATGTGAAGAAATCAGAAAGTTTCAACTTTCGTCCACTGCTTATTCCTCTTTTAAAGGCGGGGTACGATGTTGTAGATGCTAAGACATGGGCAAAACTCAGAATCCTCAGGTCGACGGGAATGATCTGGGAAACAAAATTCGGCATTGAACCCAGTGTAACTGAAGCTGGTTGGTGTGGTTGATTGCTGATAGTAGTGGTAAAAAAGGATAAAGCTCTCGGCGTTGACCAATCTCTGAGAGATGCGCCATGCATTCGACTTCATTAAACATTGTTGGAAGTGATTGAATGCATATCTGGCCTTTACAATGACTCACGGTGGCTTACCGTTGTATCGAACCAGTGCTGCTATCCTCTCAAACAAGTCCGGTACCAATTTGTCGACTCCGGAAGGTGGAAGACTTGGTGGGCCAAGGACGCAAGATCGATTCCATGTGTGTGTTGCAGTGTGCCTCCGAGCACTGCGCCAAACGCGCCCCGTAGCAGTGGTAAGGTAAAAATATGGCTAAGAGAAGGTAAAGCGAGGAGTTAGGTCGAAGTAGTGGATAGCACGTGAACTCCCGGTAGAAGTAATCGCGGGTTCGACGCCCAGCTGAGCATTTCAGGTTTTGCTCGTATCTCAGCACCCTTGTGCTGGTATGTGAAGAGTTTAATGAAATCTAAATGAAGTCTTTCACCTTTTCGGTAAAGTTTTTGTTCAGAGATGTCGATTCGCGGCCTTCAAGGCATCAGCAAAAAACAAAAGAAAATGCGTGCACCCGGTTCTGAACTGATGCAGCCACTTGCCATTGAGGACCCAGCAACGCTAACCTTGTACTCGGTAAAATAAGTTCTATTGAATCAATTTTCCTTCTCTTGTTTTGATATCTGAAAAGCCGGCCATCACGAATAGTGCCTACCACCGACAATTCTCACACTGCTGATATCCTGCCGTTTCGACAGTTTTTTCCATAAAATGAATGGAGCTGTCCCAGATCATTATAACATGCAATGTGGCCAGCCTTTGTTGACCGAAAGATTTGCCCTCTTCTTAGTAGGTTTCCTCCAACTTTGCTGTTGGTCCTAAATTCAAACGTCGAATGGTAGCGGTTTGCTCACGATACATCCACAATTGCAATGAAGTGATAGCAAGGTGTTATTGCTATTTTATATAGCATTCCAAAGAAAAGTATAAATGGCACATTTTACCTTTGCGCAATCATACACAGAGTATAAGGCGCCGTGGTTAAAGATGCCCTACAGTACAGGCAAAGTCTGCAGTTGTATCTCGTGCTTGGACCAAACTAAGCTCCTGATCCTTTTAGAGGGTGAAAATGTAATTCCAAATTTGTCTGAGATGGCAAGGATATTTGCAAAGTTGACCAAAGGTAGTTATTGTGTAGGCAAGACATCCATTCAGTCACCATCAGAATTCGATGAATAGTGCCGAATGCGGGGAGTATCCTTAAAGTCGCAATGTTTCACGCTCTGAGCTTAACATAAAGTTATTAAAAGATGAGAATGGAAAGACATAGAACAGCTTCATTATTCTTCTTTGATTGTGTCCGATAGAATGTTGTGGCTTTAGAATGGTAAAAGAAAAATAAAATAAAGCTCTCGACGCTGATCAATCCCTTAGGGATGCTCCATGCATTCTACTTCATTAAGCATCGTTTGGAGGTGACTGAATGCATATCTGGCCTTTACAATGACTCGCGGTGGCTTACCGATGCCAGTGCTGCTATCCTCCCAGACAAGTTTGGTATCAATTTGCCGACCCCGTTTGGAAGGAAGGCTTGGTGGGCCATGGGGATGAAGATCAATTCCCCGTGTCTGTTGTGGGGCACATCCGACCACTGCGCCACACGGCTTTAAAAGGAGGTTAAACAGATTACTGGTTTTCTCTGCAAATGAAATGAGAAAATGGAGTGAACTAGGAACTATGAACTAGGCTATCGCCTTCACTTAGTTAAACTGGTCAGAGCTAATTAGTATAGCGAATTTATCCCTTATAGGAATAATTTAGCGCGAAGATAGCAATGAACGATATCTCGAAGATTACAAGCCTACGAAAAGTCTGCGGATTAATTTCGATGTGCAAGCGAACGATGACTGAGATTAGTCGAGAACAGTACAGAAATGCATTTTTACACAAATGTACTTCACTAATTCTATTAAGAATCTGTTAACAAGTAGACATACATAATGAATACGCGTACATTCTTATTTATAATAAAAATTCACTTGGTTGTAGTTGTCATTTCATACTACTCACTTACCAGAATACTTGGATGGCCTGCCCTCACTAGTTGTGCGGGTCCCGGAATGATCTCCATTATTTCGGAGTTTTGCTGGTCTAGCCGTTTTGGTTCCGTGGATGCGGACCAGAGCGAGATTTGCCACCATGCAAATAGTTTCATACGAAGACGATAATGGATCCTGGAAGTAATTTACTCTTAGCTGGGCTTCCTAGTGGGAACGCCGAGCTCCTTCTCAACTTGGGAGACCCTGCTAGGGGGATGAATCCCCTCGCTCTACATCACAGCGCAAGACCCAGGAAGAGCTCCTAGCCACAATGGGGCGGTAAGCCGCTCAAAGGCATTTCATATTATCGAATTTAAAATCCTCATTCGATGTTAATTTTTCTCCTTCCTCAATTATATCATCTACATCACTTCAACTACTCATACCTGAGGGGTAAGGCCGATGTTGTCCTCTTTTCCTAGAAGGACCTTTTTCTTTTTTTCGTCGTTACAATACAGCTTAAAACCACTAATATCACTAACCACCAATGCTAACTCATGGAGTGGAAATGATTCTATATGTAGTCCAACATATCTCCGGTACCGAAGTTCCACTCATTTGTCGTCCTTTTACGCACCAACGCACCTGATTCGCACATGGACGGATTGCGTCGTTGCCAAAAATCAAATGTCTGTCTCATCTGGTGTAGCAGTTAATTCACCGTATTACCTGTATCACCTGTATCACTTGTCGTTCCGTTGACCAGTAATTCGAGCAGGCGTTAGTAAATCTTCCATTTTTCTCTGTTGCAAAAAGTTGTGACTCAGTAGGCATTACTCGCTCAAGAGACTCGTTGAGCGTCATATCTTTTTTCTAGTGTTTTCGTGAAAAGCTCTGACCGTCGGATCGGTGGTGTTCCTGGTGTGCGTTCGATCTCTGGAGAAGCCCAGACGCTAACGACTGTTGTCCATCGATTATTGTTTAGACGCATCACGCGTCCGACCCACTTTATTGCCGAAATTTTGGCGTTTACTACGGCATCTCTGGTTTTTGATCGTTGACCTGGTAGGCCGAAGCTTCAGATCCTTTCTTTCAATTGGGCGATGCAGGATACTCCCATCATCGCCCTGCGCATTCTACAACGCTGAGTGGTCTTTCATTCTCCTTACGTAGCAGACAGGTTCCCGATGCGTAAGTTAAGCCACGAAACGTGGAGTCGAAAAGTGAGCACGTAGTCACTTGACTTCCCAAACCAGATAAACATACCGTTAGGAGGTATTGATTCCGTTGAGTGTCGTTTGGAAACCATTGCATAGTGTGAAAAAGTCCAAGATATACAATACTGAAATTAGGTTGATACGGTAGCAGAAGTTTAATACTGAAGAAAATTACATGTGCAGAAATGCTGCGTATATTGAGAGGCAAAAAATTGCAACCACGTGTGACCTTATGTTCCGTTCGTTAGAATTGAATAACTTTTCGTTTTTTTCTGCATGTAAAAAGCGCCAATCCACTTACTTACCCCAGCACGAAGTCATTGTGACTGAAAAATGGCTACCTCGACAAGTTTTCCTTTCTCTGAACTCGCGCAACCCTGGCTAGGACTTTTCCAAATCATCGTAGCTTTCAAGCTAGTGACTATCTTGTTCCCTGTGTGGTAATGATCGCTGATATCGGCTCATTCTTGACTACGGTTCCGGATGGAAATGTCGAACTTATTTCAGATCAACACCCATGAGCCACGATGAGGATCTAAACTGCTGGGTAGTCTCCGAAATATTAGATATTATCATGTTGGAAATCTGTCATTTTACGATATTATCCAGTTTTCTATACAGAAATGGGTTAGGAATTTTTATTTTTGGTCTTTTCATCGCAACATAAGCAGCTTTGTTCGATTATGGGTTAAGCATTAACGTAATAAGTAAAAGTCTTCGTAGGAATCGATAGTCGGCAAGCCTTACGAGTCTCTCGAAATATCGTCAATCAATAACAAATCATATTTACAAAATCTGACGGAGTTTACAACTTTGATCGGCTTTCTTTCATCATTGGTCCCAGGTACTTTTCAAATGTCGGTAGTACCTAAAACAAAAGCTCTACTAATTACGTTGAAAATCTTTGGATTTAGAACGGAATGCCATTGTCACCTCAGTTTTGTTTAACTGGCTCATTTGAGCCCATTCGAGAAGTGCTGGATAAACGTTGCCATCGCGGCGCCCAAGAACCTATGAGTACTCATGTCATTAAGTTCTTGACAAGCACTGCTTTCCTACTGATCTGGTCAATATTTGCTTTAAATGGAAAAGTTAGATGGATCCATGGCCAATGGTAGGAATCAGCTTCACCTTGTTGGTGAATCAATTCGATTTTCACTTCATTTAAACTACCGCTTTTTCGTCTACCGACATGTCCTTCAGGATAGTCAACAGACTTTGATTGTGAAAGCAAACGCTTCTAACAAAATAAAGTACGGTTTGAAAATTTCCGAATATAGCAACACCATCTTTTAGAAATCCAAATAAAGTGACTGTCTTATTTCCACGAATCCCTTTACCACACATTGTGCGAGGCCAAACACTTTAACTTGGCTCGTTGCCTTGCATCTGTCATCCGCTGAGGCCTTCAGATTTGGGCCTGGGATCGGCTGCTACTTGATAAGCTAGTCCTCTTCATGGATGCCGTTGAATACTGGTTGAATTTATTTTCCTTGAAATTCTTGGATAATTTTAACTTATTCTTTACTGCCTACTATTTTTAACGGCAGGGTATACATTGTGAAATATAGCTTCAATGGTGCTGAGATATTTGAAAAACTCCGGACCGCAGGTGTATGCGATTATTGTGATTGTGATTATAACTGCGGCCTCAGCTTAACTGGGTTCGTTGCCGATTTGGGCCCCCCAGATCAATCCCGCTGACAGGTGATTGTTGATGGGAAAAGATCGATAGAACCAGCTGAGAGACAGGCGAAACGAAGGACCCGCGTGGTGTGGTGGTGAACGCGCTACTCCCGGAAAGGACAATAGCGCGTTCGTTCCCCACCGCATACGCCTGCGGTCCGGAGTTTTGCAAATATCTCAGTACCATTGAAATTCTTGATAGTTTTGTTAAGCCGTTCTCAGGTCCTCACCACAGAAGTGACCCTGTGCGCTTGTGGATCAGAGGAAGCGTTCGCTAGCTGCCAGACAGGCCTGGTACCAATTTTCCGATCTCCCAAGGAATGACAGGTCTTGTTAGCGAGGGTTGAGGTCGAGCGAACTAGTACGTGTGGATCGGTCGGCATCTATAACTGCAGGCTATTCCTGCGCCCCTTTCAATAACAACGTTGAGAAATGTTGTGACTTACCGAATGTAATTCGAAGTCGTCGAAATCCCAGCTATCGACAAGAGAAACGGCATTTGGTCGTAGTCTTTGCAAGCAACGATAGATACCCTGACGAATCTCATCCGATTGAGCATCGGATATAAAACCATCCTGAACATTACATGAAACTGGATGCTACAAATTAGCCGGCCGCCTCCTGGACGTCATAAGGAAGTGAGAAGTAGGTGAACAACACTTTTTTAAAGCTTTCCAGTCAGTAAACAACATACGGTAACCGTTACCGCCACTACACTGCATATTTTCTCAAATCACTTTATTACACACAATAAATCCCAAAACGTCCTCGCCTAACGGGTGACGTTTAACTAATTGTCGTTGTTTTCCCACCTTTAAGAATTCTCCTAGACTTGTGGTGATTAAATCAAAAGCGTAAAGTCTGGTAAGATCGGTGAGTGGCGCTCGAATGGATGCGTCTTTAGCAGTGGCGACCTTCTCCAGGAAAGTACGTACCAAGTAAAGGCGAACGTGTGCCTAAACTATTGCAAGCTAGATAATGTAAAATATAAATATGATCTATTAGCATTATAATTACGAATAAGATACTGTGGAGGGAATTTTAAATCATTATATTGTAGAAGTGCTCAGCCTTGATCATTTTCACTAACCATTTAGTAATTAATAGCTATACTTTACATCGCTAAGGCCACTTGTTTCTTCCCACTTCGTTGACTGCATAACGATAGTCCGATAGTTATTTACTATTGATTACCATTTTTAGGTCAGATTTAATTCGTCCATATAAAGTTTATGCTCAGAACATAAACTGTTGGAGGCTTAACTTCCTTGCTCCGTAAGAACATCTTGTATGCTCTAATATTCTCACCACTGAAAACAACAGTTTTCAATTTATGATGAAAAGTCTTTGGTAGTTTTTAACCTTGTTAAGAAAGGCTACGGATAAAAAATAATGAAACCGACTATGTTGAAAAGTCATATAACTCTGGATATCTTTACCCGGGAAGCTTTACAAAGTTCAATTGAAGCGCGATTCCATCCTTCTTCAGCGGAAGTTTCTCTCCGGTGTCTCTTTAAAACGTCGTATGCTCTGAAGACCTAGAATAAAATGACATAGGTCCTATACATATAAATGCATATATATATAATATATATATTGGTCGAGTGATGAAACATCCCCTAACACTTGATACTTGAATGGCCTGTCGTCACTGTTTGTGCGGGCCCCAGCAAAATTTCCACTCTTTCGGAGTTTTGTTGGTTTAGTCATTATCGTTCCCTGGAGTTCCGAGGTTAGCCTGGCCAAAGTCTGCCTTAGATCGTCACCATCCCAGGCAGTCGCCACACTTGTGGATCAGAGGGAGATTTGCTAGCGTGCGACTAGTTTCATACCACGACGATGGTGATTCCTGGCATTCGTTTAGCGCTTTCCAGGCTTCCAGATGGAAATGAAGCGTCATACAACAGTGTTTTTCAATCACTTAAATTTAAAGCTCTTGGTGTTTTTTTATCTTCTTTTCCTTTTTTAGAATTATTTCTCTAGTTATACGTTAGTGCCTCAATTTAAAGTGCGTTAACCCATTCCGCTTCGTATGAACAGTGTAGTGTCCTATGCGACTAGTTTGATAGCAGAACGGAGGTAGATCCTGATATTGGTTTACTCTTAGCTGGGCTTCCATGGAAACACCGGACTCCTTCTCAGCATGGGAGACCCTGCCACGGGGATTAATCCTCCCGCTGCAGGTCGCAGCCCATACCCAGGAACACCTTCCAGCCACGATGAGGCGGTAAACCATTGGGAGGACTGAAACATCAACAACGTTTATTTGGTATTGAGCATTACCATTTTCTTAAGGCAGTTGCTGATTCTGATATGAAGTGCCAGATTTTCCACCGAACCATTTTTACGATGAGGAGTCCTATCGGAAAGTAAACATGTGTTTAAAATCATCTATAACGCAAAACAACGATCTGAAATTAATAAGGGGCATACAGCTCACTAGTTAGAGGTAGCCTTCAATGCGCGCTTGGTCATTAGTTCGATCCTGCGCTATGAGGTAGCTGAGTTCCCATTCCTTAAAAATGTAGAATTTATAGGTTGATAAGCATCCACATTGACGCTTTGTTCTTTATCCTGAAGCTTACCAATTTTAGGTGTTTTATGGGACCCAGCGCGAATCCCGCTCTACCTTGACTAAGAACGCTTTGAAGCGTACCGCACTGATTGTTTACATACCTGTTTCCTGGCAATATGTTCGAAATCATGTATAATATCGGCATCTGAATAGTCGCTGCAACTGGTAAATCTGGAGTGAAGCGAATTTGGTTTCGTGAGATACTCGCATATCGCCGCCAGCCGCGCCTTACCGCCACGCACCTCTTCGGCGGCTTTCATTAGGAACCTGAGTGGAATATGTTTTACTTTTAACCTGACTGGTTCCAAAAAGAGGATAACTGAAAGGACATTGGTTGAATATGATTGGTTTTAATCATTACAGAAAGCTTTTCGGCGGAAAGGAGTCTTTAACTCGGCAAATCCATGGTGGTAATCCTTACAAATACCAAAGTAGTAATTCACAATTCCGATCGTAACCAGTGTAAGCCATCGTTTAGAAGTTCAGTGTAAGCTTCAAAAGGACAAAGCATTCAGCGTTGATTAATCTTTGACGGATGCGCTGTGCATTCAACTCCATACTGCATCGCAGAGATGAATGAATGCATATACGACCTGTGCACTGACTTGCAGTAGCCCACCGATGTGTTAATTAAGTGCCGCTATACCGCCAGAGAAGACTACTACCAAGTTGTTGACTGTAGGGGAGGTAAAACTTGGTGAGCCGGGTCTCGCGATCGAGCTATCGGCCCAACCAGGATGTATTGCAGGGTACCCTTCACCACTGCGCTAGACGCTTTGAATTTTGAAACGCGCTGCAAAATTTTTTTCACAGCATTGGGCCAGTGGACCAGTGAGCTCTTTGTGGCGCGCAAATGCCGAGCTTCCTGACTTTCTGTGACAGCTTTGGGTCTTCTATTACTTTTAGCTTCGAGACTTCTACCGTTGAATCAATTTGGCGATTAGTTCGACGATTCTGACGATATTAGACAATTTCGCTCCTACTTTCCGAAATCAGCAAACCAAGCAAATTACCGAAAGAGCATTCGATTATAGATCTTCTACGATTCTGCTGCCCCTTCTAAGCTTCTATTATTCATTACTGCATTGCTTATGTGCTTCCTTTGCCTGGTAGGTATATGATGTATACATTGATAGGAAATAAATGAACAAGTCCAGAAAATTTGGAAAGAAAATAGCCGAACAGTGAGGTACCTGGCCATTTGTAGAAGCAAAACTATGTTCTCGCCTTCGTATGTACAACCAGCAACTGCAAAAGTGTAGATATCCGGAAATGCGGATGCGAGCGAATAGCCGTGTCCACCGCATGCCAAGCGACACTGCTCAATCCCCTGAACCAAGGAAAGCAAAAGAATGATACCCTAATTTTCCCACCATATGTCTTGCTGAAACCAAACTTTTTCGACTTGTCATTCACCGCTTAGATACTGACGAGCTTAATCTACATTTACTACTAACCTCTTTGAAAGCACCAGACTTAGGCGATAATTCTAAAGGTATACCGAGTTAAACGACTGACCTGTGCAGCTTCCCAAGTGATAACAGCCTTCAATCCAGAAGATAACGCGTGAATCTCTGGCAAAAGGTCGACATTTCCCTCTGTGAGCTGTTCGCTCACCTTAAAACTTTCATTAAAATCTCAAAAGGATAATAGTTACGGAAATTTCACCTTCATATGTAGATCACGGATTTCGTACGCAGCAAACATGAAAGCGAACGCTCGCGCCAACTGCGGAAAAAGGCGGAACTGTTGTGTTTGATAGTCGAGAATTTGGACCTCACCTGCTCTACAAGGGATATATATTAAATTCATAAACTTTGCATTTAGTGGACAATAGAAGGAAGTAGGAAACATAGTAGAAAGTTATCACAGTGTTCAAAGCTGTTATAACTTTCATAATGATGAGATATTTGCAAAATTCCGGACCGCAGGTATATGCGGTGGGGAACGAACGCGCTATTATCCTTTCCACCCGTGCAGACATCTGCGGTCCACAGTTTTGCAAATATCTCAGCATTATGAAAGCTGTATTTCGCAACCTTCCCTGCAATTAAAAAGAATAGGCAGTAAATGAAAAGGTTAAGATTGTTATAACTTTGCTTAAATGACGAAACATTTGACAAACCTTATAGAAATTGATGTGTGGGAAGAATAGGGATTACAACAAGGCGTTTATTTTTCTCTTAGAAAAAACCTACCGATATATAAAGCCAATGCTGATATCCTCCAAGACAAGTCTGGTACCAGCTTTCCGATATGGGACGGTCGAAAGCACATGGGTGTACATAGGGCGTAGGGATCGATCCCATGTGTATTGCAGGGCGCTTCCGACCGCTTCGCTACTCACGCCAGAAAACACTATATTTCGGTACAATTCTCGAGGCGGTGCTTTTTCTTGTTACTCGTCTAACAGAATAATGTTGCGGGGTAACTCATCGTGCATTTAAGCGTGGACAAGTTTTCTTCCTCTAAGGTGTTTTGTGCCTTCTGGGTTTTATTCCGTGCATGGCCAATAAATGTATGGTTAGTCATCTCACCCTGGTTCAATTTCTCCCTGTCGCCGAATCGCTGAGTAACGGATGGCAATGCAAACGGCTTCAGCCAAGAACGTCGCCTGATCCTTGACCATTATCGACCGAACGAACACCATCGTACCGTAACTTAGTTTCGAGTGCTTTGGTGCAATAAATGTGCCGTTTTTTTCCACCTAAATCCCAGTGATATTGAACTTTCGGACCAAACTAGTAAAGTTTGAAATTTAGTACGAAATTCGTCGACGACAGGTGAAAATTTCAAGGCGTTGTACCTTTCTCTAAACATCAACTTCACCGACCAAACGAAGGAATGTTACAATCAATTAACCGTTTCCAGTGACGATTAGACGCTTAAATATTTCACTTATACGAAAGCTTGCATCCTAGGATTCGGCTAAGTCGTCAGATCACCATCTCGACGTGGCCTCCATTGGCGAATACTTCTTTGCTACTAATGTCTTTTTTAAAAGTTTTTTTTTTTGTTTATAGGACTTTCAGAGGTGATAATCTGCTGGTGATATTGCTGAATAAGCTGAAAGAAGCAGAGTTTTGCAATCTAACTCGTCCACAATTTGGACCACCACGTGTGGAGCGTGAGAGGGCGCGTTGCGGTGAACAATTATCACAGGGTCACCGTCATTCTTTGTCGTGGAGCGGGCAGCGTTACTATCATAGTTGCTCTTAGCCGGACTTCTAAACGGAGACGTCTAACCCTTTTTCAGCTTGGGAGACATTATTAATAGGCGCCAATTCTTTCGATAAAAATCACTTCCATGTGCAGTCATATTTCGGTTCACACAAAACTGGGTATTTTGCCCGGCAAGACTGAGAACCCCAACATAGTCCTATGTCGTCTAATCAATCTATTGCAGAAAATACAATACAGAAAGTTTAGGTCCTAGTTTCCTAGGTACCGTAAGGAAGGATTTGGCGAAACTGGTTTTAAATTTCTACACTTCAGGAATTTTGAATACGTGCTAAAAAAATGCTGGACTATCTTGTCCTCAGCCGATCACAATGCGCTAAGCACTCAAATATGTCGTTTTTTTCTCAGTCTTAATGTCAGACACCAAGCTTTATTCCTGGTTCAGCCATTTATTGACCGAATGCGTCCTAATACTTTTCTATAAAGAAAGTCGAGGACGATCAAATTCAGAAATAACAGTAAATAGTAGATTTCTGAAGCAGTTTCGGACATTAAGGCAAGAAAAATTCAAGGGATTGTGTTTCCTAATGGATTACTCAAGCTGATCAGAATCGTGCGAGCTCATATGGTAACGTGGGAAACTGGCTAAGAAGCCGTAGGTCGCCGCTATCTTCTCACCACTGGAGAAAGAAGGATGGACTATTTTACCTTTGAGTATCTCATCAACATATTTTGTCGAGGTATGCGATAGTTATCGAACAACAAGAAACCGTTATCAGCCGAATTGAAGCCAAATTTTGGCCCGATGTCACCAACACGGATTCCTAAAGTGATTTTGCTAGCAGTATTTGTAAAAAAAAAAGACGATATCAAATCAACCAAAATGGAACCTTTTAGAGGTTTATGGGTTTCAAGGTCTCTAATTTGAACGATAAATGGATGAGGGCCTCTACAGACTCCCTGAGTGTAGAGCTGAGCTACGACGACCGCATAGTTGGACGACTTTCCAAGTGCACCAGGCCACCATCTGAAATTTAAAAAATCATAACCTTATTATCACTTTTATTGCTACTGTTTTTATTGTTACTGTTATTATTATCATGCTGTATGAATCAACAGCACGGTGAACATCAGCTTAAGAGCGTCACTGAACGAGGAACGCGAATTTCGCTTGTAAAATGGTCCAAAAAATCATTTACGAATACAATTCAGATCTCTTCGATAGCCACGTCCACCTTCCGTCATATGAAATAAAGGAGGATGGATATGTTGTACCACCGGTTCTCCCTTCCGAAATCCGACCGTGCCATTTCGTCGGTGAAAAATCGAACAGCACCAGCTCTGGACAGGATAAGACCAGAACACCTGAAGAACCTTCCGCCAGTCCTCATAAACACATTGGCTCGGCTCTTCACACGTTACCTGTCTTAACCACATCCACACGATAAAAAGACTCATTGAAGTATCGCGAGAGTACAAAAGACCGCTCTGTCTCACTTTCATCGATTTACAGAAGGCCTTTGATTCAGCTGAAATAGAAGCACTCTTGGTAACCCTTGATAGTTAAGGAGTCCCTACCCAGTACATAAAGATTCTTCGTGGGCTGTACAAAAATTTCACAACCAAGGTTTCACCATTCTACAACGATATTAACATTGACGTCAAAAGAGTAGTTAGGCAAGGCGATACCATCTCGCCAAATTATTTACCACCACCTTCAAGAACGTTATGCGAACATTGGAATGGGATAATATGGGAGTGAAAATCGATGGTCGGCAGCTACACCATCTTCGCTTTTGCTGGTAACATCGCCCTTGTAACATCAAGCATTCGCCGAGTGGAACGTATGCTTGCGGACTTTGATAAATCCTGCGGAAAGATTGGTCTTCGGCTGAATGTCACAAAAACGATGTTCAGGAACGGATTGGTTTCGTATGCCCAATTCACGCTCAACGGAACCAATATCTTCGAATGCTTCAGATATGTCTATCTAGGTCGGGAAATCAATATAATGAACGACTTAGCTCCAGAGCTGAGTAGAAGGAAACGAGCGGTTTAGGGAGCTTTCAAGAGCATCGAGGATGTAGTGACGAGAACAAAGAACACCCGACACTGTGCCCAGCTTTTCGACTCAACGATACTTCCTGCCCTAACCTATGTGTCAGAAACCTGGCCGCTGCGTAAGCAGGATGAAAGATCACTCAGCGTTATCGAACACGCAGTCGAAAGGACGATGCTAGGAGTATCCCGTTCCACACAAGTAAGGGATGCGATCCGAAGCTCCGACCTGCGTCAACGATCAAAAATCAAGGATGCTGTTCTGTACGCCAAAAAGTCGAAGATAAGGTGAGCCGGACACGTAATGCCTATGAATGACAACTGATGGAGAAGAGCCGTTAGTGACTGAATTCCTCGGGATGTCAAGGGTACTGCAGGAAGGCCATCGAACCGATGGTTAGAGTTCTTCACGAAGAGTCTAGAAGAAAGATATGATGCTCGACGAGTCCCTAGAGCGAGCAGGACCCACTGGTCTACTATTGCACACGCTAGGGAAAAATGGAAGATTTACTGGCGCCCGCTCGAGTCACTCGACGATCAACGGGACTATAAGTGATACAGGTGATGGTCCAGTCTATATCATTTTATATCACTAAGGGCGCGTGTGGCGCAATGGTCGAAAGTGCCTCGCAGCACACACATGGGATCGATCCCGGCGCCCATGGCCCACCAAGCCTTCCATCCCTCAGAGGTCGTCATATCGGTACCAGACTTGCCTGGAAGGATAGCAACACTGAATCGATACATCGGTAGGCCACTTCGAGTCATTGTAAAGCCAGATATTCATTCAATCACATCCAAACGATGGTTAATTAAATCGAATGCATGGTGCATCCCTCAGGGATTGATCAACGCCGAAAACTTTATTCCCTTTGTTTAGAGCTTTTATGGCCCAGTCTATATCACTTTGAGAAGTTTTGAATAAAGAAAGCGAGCAAATAGATAAAGATACAACAGTACAATACCTATAAAGAAGCACTGTCTGAAAAGACTGCGGACCATCGATTTGGATCAATCCCTCTGAAGAAAACGAGGACTTCGAAATGCAAGCCGAATAAAGTTGTTTGTTAAGCTCGTGTTGGCTTATCAAAAAAAAAAAACGTATTTATCAGTCATAGTGAAGTTAACAAAAGTCGATTTTTGCGCTCCATATCCAATGTTGACGTTTCGTTTGCCAGTTATATTTTCAAAACTCAATCTCTTTTTAAGTGGTAAATTTTTTGACATAGGCGAAGTGCCAACTCATAGCACAGTTGTACAGCAGCAGAGCACTGGGAAATCCGTTCAGTCAAAACAATGATCGTCAACTTTTCGGCCTGGCAGCTAATCAATGGTTTCTTTGAAACTATCGAATGCAGCCTATGCTGACCTGATTCTTCTGCACAATAAATCCTTCGTGTCCTTTTCCGTGTTTGTTGAACACTCTAGGTACAGGTATAAAGCTCTCTTTGTAGTCAATAACCGTCCATTCCTAGTTGTTTTCTAGATTCTCATGAAGCAGGTTCATAGGAAGGAAGCCCTACCCTTTTCCAGCTTGTTAGGTTTCTTGATAACTTTTTTCTGTTTAACTGGTGCTTCTAAAAAAATAATAGTGTCATAGGCATAGGGAAGATCTGATAAGAATTGTCACCCACGCCTTTGCCCGTCTTGTCGTAATCAAATCATTCCATTTTTGAATTCGGCAACTTGTAGCACGAGTAGTATGTAGTTCGAGTTCGAATACGATTGAAATGCTCACTTAGCTGATGTGATTGTAGGTGAATGGAGAACGAACTCTTCAGTTTTTGGATCGTAGGTGGCTGTTGTTTCGAGGTTTTTCAGATTAGTTCCTGAAAAAAAGGTTGCTGAAAACCTTACTGATTCTACAGCTCACAAAAGAAGAACATTTTGGCTCTGAAAAGGAGCAAAACTAAAAGGACGACAAACACTGCAGAAAAAGGCAAACTAAAAAGAATAGAAGATCATCTTCACCATGTCCGAGTTCAGTCTGGGCGTAGGTGCCAATGATGCCACGAGCAGCCACCAACGATAGCCATTCATCCAGTTGATCGTCTTCGCCCTGGCCTTGGATTGTCGGCAGGAACATGACAAAATGCAAGGACAACGGATGCAGGTCACGGCGCATGATTAACCTACAATAAACAAAGGCAAGTAAATTTCGTCAATAGGAGCCTAAAAAACCCGGATAATATCTGACCTATCTAGATAATATAACCAATTCCTTTATTCTAGACGCCAATTATGGAATTACCCCAATCCAGATTTGTCAATTTTCCAGCTTCTTCAAAGTTTCTTTGATTTTTCGCACCTCCTCAGACGTTAAGAGGTAGTTGTTGTTCAACTGTACTCGAATAACCTTTCAGGAGGGTGCAAACGCGTTGGCTGGCGGCGGTGCCCGACACTACTTCATGCATAAAGCCGTCTATCTCTCCGATGTCGGAGACTTGTTGCCAGTCTGGGAGCATGAAAAACTGTGGCCAGCTTAGGCCATTGAATGAGCAGAATGTGCATTTAATCACTTCTACGTTGCTCATAAAACATGAGGTAAACGAGGTGTGCCTTATCTTACATCCCTATTTTCTTCGACGTATCTGTACTGCAAAAACGGACAAAAACAGTGTAGATGAACCACACGAACACGAGATGATGGACTAATCTACACATTTGTCGAGTATTGTATATTTGGTGTATATAACGATTATGCAGTTTTGCCGATAAACAAAACAGTTGGCGAGTCCACTCGTCCCAGGTCAATCAGTTGTTTATTTATCCAAAGCGACGAAGGTCAGGTTTGCCTGCAGACGGTGCTCAACTAGCGATTTCGTGTACGTCAGGTTGCTCATCGAATGTGAGAAGAAGAAAAATTTACAGTTGGACAAGGATCGTCAGTGCAACACTTTGAGGATGAGTTCACGAAAAAAATGATTTAAGAAACTATTTCAGCATTCACCATGTAAAGGAAGTCTTCTGTAGTGAACTGAGGGCTTCTTAAATCCGCAGACAAGTTATTCTCTTCACCCACCAATTTTTGTTGCATAGAAACTTTCACAGTGAGAGGAAAATTGTTTCAAAAAATAGAGCTGCAATAGTCGTTCGTCGTATGTAGACACGCATTATGATTCCTGACGTTGCTGATATAGCGCCTATTTCCCCTCAGTTAGTTAACCCATGTTGAGCTTGGGAAGACTTGCAGATTCAACCGAGATAGAACATAGGCTTACCACTTGCTTTGTGACGAAGAGCTACACCACCCTGCGGTACATGTTCTACTTGCACCATACTCTTAATTTTAATTCATTTACTCGTATTTACCTTTGAAAATACATTCCTTCTCCAAAAAAGTCTGAAGTGTCAATAAAGTCCACATAATTTGTCATCGCAACAACCTAAAAACTTAGCAAATTAGAAATTAGTTCATAGATTTCCTTTGTTTTAATCACCTGTCTTTCACATTTACTATGGCAATCCTAGCAGTTCCTACATTTGACTTGTTTTTCTCGCATTCATCATTACACGAATGTCTTCCAAACTTTTACGCTTGGGTTCGGCCGCTGCTTGAGGATTTCCTTTTGATCATGAATGTCGTTGAATGTTGGTCGAATCGTTTCTTCTTGCAATCTTGGAAATGGCTGAACTAAGGCGTTCCCACACGGATTACAGAGAGTGATAGAGCCGTGCAAAGTATTCCCAGGCAAGTCTGCTACCAATTCCTTAACTCCGGAAGGATGAAAAGCATCATGAGCAGAGAGTGTAGCCGAACCGTGCTCATGATGATTGCCATTACTACCAATGGGTACTCGACCCAGTTAATAGAATGAAGGAAGTAATTTGAAAAAATATTCATCATTAAGGAGTTACCTATACTCAAATAGTTATTACCTTCCTGGCTACGTTCTCAACCCGTTCCTCACGTGTCATGAAGTCAACCGGAAATGGATCGTGCAGTTCTGGTATCGATTTGACGAATTCCAGAATCTTTGTTCGTCTCTACAAAGATGGATTATTGTTAAAACAACTAAATATTGACCTACTGTTTAGTAGTCAAGACGCATAACTGCCATTTTACTTCTTATACAAGTTTTCATAGAGTCGGGTTTAAAACTCGAGCCTTAGAAAAAGAATAGCGGCCCATACTTTTGTAGGATTCTGTACCCGTTTTTAGCGTTCTTTTATGTCGATTCGTAACGCAAAAATATAAAAACGACTATGTTAGGTGACTTTTGGGACAGATCAAGCGCCGCTCACGACATTTTTATGACAGATATCCTGGAATCTTTAAATGCCTTCGAAAAATACCGTAAGCAAGTCACTTCGCCACCTTGCATGATCAACGGCCGCATTGAGATTTCGGGCCAATTTGGACGGTCGGCGAGTTTTACTAACTGTTCATTGCTTACAACTAATGAAAACTGTTTTACCTGAAGCACTTCATCTCCTCCATAGAGGAAGCTGCCCATTTGTCGAATATCGAAAGTGCCAGCAAGTCGTTCTTTAGTGATATCGGGGTTATCTCCAGGTTTTATGAGAGGATTCTTCATTCTGGACTGTTTTCTAAATGTTCTGCTATCACAAAGCTACAGAGAACTGCTATATTACGAAGAACTATCGTGCGGGGAAATGGCTGATAATGTTTTCATACGAGATAATGTCACCATCTCTTAAAAACAGAAAACTTCACTCGGCGCAGTCAACGGCAACTGATATAAACTAGCACTGGAACCAAATGAGAGACAGGAAAAACGAAGGACTCGCATGGTGTGGCGATGAACGAGTCAGCCATCAGATAGGGTAATAGCGTGTTCGTTCCCACTGCACACACCTGTGGCCCGGAGTTTTGCAAATATCTCAGCAACATTGTGGTTGTTTCACACCTAATATCCTGCCTTGAAAAATTGTAATAGGCAGCAAATAAGGGAGTTTGCTTTGTGATAACCGATATAATTTTTTAAAAAGAAAAAACTATTCTTTTCAGTAAAACTATTTTCTAGAAAAGGAGAGATTTTTGTAAAGGATACGTCCCTTGAGGCGGATTAAGCCAGCATAGAGATTTTTTGAAGTCAATCAAAAACATCGTAATCAATTTCAACATCTTATGAACCAATCCAGGAATGGCTGAGAGACGAGAATTTGCCATGGTTTACCATGGTTCCAATTCCTGATAGATCAGCTTCGAGTAAGTGACGCTTCAGCGGAGGAAACTCCATTCGCTTGCTTTAAAAAAAAACGCTCAGCGAATGAGGGTAAGTCACATCAAACTGAAACATACAGAACATAATGTGAGAAAGTTTTCGGATACTCTGCCTCTCATCATAAGCCGGGGATGCGAACGAGTGTGTTTATTGATGTTGAACTACCCAAAACTTCACAACGGTTTACCGCCTCATCGTAGCTGGGAGGTGTTCCTGTGTGTCGGGCCGCGATGTGCAGTGGGGGATTCATCCCCTGGTAGGGTCTCCTAAGCTGAGGAGGAGTTTGGCGTTTCCATCAGGAAGCCTACCTAAGCGTAAACCAATACCGGGATCCACCACCGTTCTGGTACCAAAGTCGCATGGTGGCAAATCTCCCTCTGATCTACAAGGACGACGATTGCCTGTGGTGGTGAAGACCTGAGGCAGACTTTGGCCAGGCTTACTTTGGGATTCCAAGGAACCACAATGGATGAACCAGCAAATCTCCAAAAAGTGGAGATTGTGCAGGGGCCTGCACAATCAGTGAGGACGGGCCATTCTAGTATCAAGTAGGAACTACCCAAATTGGTAAGACAGGCAGTTTCATCTTGAAGCCTAGCTAGAGGAGTATTTAAACATGAGAAAACCTTGACGCTTTAAAATAAGTCTAGTTGCACAATTGCAAGCTATCCTTTCATATGGAAGGTTGCAGTGACATCGAGAGAACACCTTGACACGGTTATCCGGGGACTCAGAAAAATCTCGGAAGAATGATTGCTTACCCAGAAAAACATGGGTCAAATGGAAAATAGTTTGCAGTCACAAATTATCCATCCACCCAAGTAACAGCGAGGAACATATTATCATGATTCTAAGAGATATAGCACTATTAAGACAAAAAACTCTTTCGGAGGAATGGAATATTTAAACTTCAGTGTGGTTGACTGCGGCACACACGTGGAATTGATCCCTGTGCCCATGGCCCACCAAGTCTTCCATCCCTCCGGGATCGGCGAAATGGTACTACACTTGTCTGGGAGGATAGTAGCACTGGCTCGATACATCGGTAGGCCACCGCGAGTAAAGGCCAGATATGCATTCAATAACCTCCAAACGATAGTCAATGAAGTCGAATGCATGGCGCATCCATCAGGAATTGATCAACGCCCAGAGATTTATCGTTTATCCTTTTATAGTTGACTATTTGAGCTGTCAGTTTTGGTAAAATGCGAAAAATCGTGTAGCACTCTGTACAAATTCTCTTTAACCAGACAGTTGCTGTTTGGGAAAAATGATTTTCTTTCATGAAGTATTGAAAAAAGCGCTAGGGTTTCCCCAAGTGCTCAATAGTAACCAACTAGAGACTAGTTTGTTGGGAGGATTGCTACGATCTCTGGTACTGCGTTTCTAGGACTTGGCCGAATGTAGAAGTCGAACTCTTCGCATTGCAGCTATCTTCTCAGGGGTTAATATCTCGCTGTCTATCGCACTTCGAAAATCAACAGAACTTCCAATAACGATAGTGTGGGAAGTCATTGGGCAGAGTATTTAAAGTCGTTAGTTAGGCGAAACAAACGAATTCAATAAAATACAACCACAACGTTGCTGAGATATTTGCAAAACTCTGGACCGCAGGTGTCTATGGTGGGGAACGAACGCGCTATTGTCCTTTCCGGGGAGTAACGCGTTCACCACCACACCATGCGGGTCCTTCGTTTCGCTTGTCTCTCAGCTATTTCTATCGAAAAAAAAAGATCGATAGAAATAGTTGAGAGACAAGCGAAACGAAGGACCCGCATGGTGTGGTGGTGAACGCGTTACTCCCCGGAAAGGACAATAGCGCGTTCGTTCCCCACCATAGACACCTGCGGTCCAGAGTTTTTCAAATATCTCAGCAACGTTGTGGTTGTATTTCGCTTAGTATCCTGCCGCGAAATTATAGTAGGCAAAAAATAAAGAGGTATAACATTCAGACAAAAGCTTTTCTTGAACCGACGAAATTTAGACAAAGCGGTCTCATGTACTCTTACGATTCTTTAGTGGGTCTTTTTGTCGTGTGGATGTGGTCCATCGCACTGAATGGTCTTCGAAACCCTGCTTGATTACACGGCTGTACTTTGTCCAGTGTTCTGTCAACCTTGTTTAGGATCACTGAAGTGGAAAACTTGTAAAGCACAAACAGTGAGCAGATTTGGCGATAGTTGTAGAAATCGTGGACCTTACCCTCCTTGAACAATAGCACGGTCTTGCCGGTCTTCCATTAAGGAGAGAGCTTACATTCAGGCAGGTAACGTGTGAAGAGCAGAGCCAGTGTGTTCAAGGGGACTGGCGGAACGTTGTTCAGGTGTTCAGATCTTATCCTAATTTTCTTCTTCCCTAAGGAAACTTGAAAAAACTAGCAAATTAGGTGTCTCTAAAGTGCAAAGTGGAAATAAATTACAACTCTCTAATACTGGTAAAATCTAATGTAACATGAATCCAGTAAATAACGAAAAAACAATGCAAATCATAGCTCGGAAGACCGACTTCCTATAAACCCCGGCATAGATAGTAGATATCTTTATTTATGTGATCTTATAAACTGATCTTCTTAAGCTAACGCGAAGTTGGTTTATGCAAATCATAGTTTTGTATCCATGAACAATTGTTCAACTCTGAAATTTGAGTATAAAAAGAACGAAGTGACAATAACTCGCGGTCTCTTTCACGTCAATCTTCCAAGGCATCTTAGGGCCGGCTCAGAATAATCGCTGCGATTCCTTTGAAAATGCCTTCTTTTCCTTTCCTTCCTTATCGTTCTCACTCTCTCTCGCTGAATACTTTGTCTAATGTTGAACATAAAAAAATACATAGATGAAACTATGGACATTACAGAAAAAACAAGAGAAAGAATAACAACGTGGCATTCATAGATGAGGAACTTCAACTCTATCCATTTTAACTCCATCAAAACCAGAGAAATGGAAATATTCGTAAGCATTTGCACTTCCTTCGCATTTACTGGATATCTTAATAATGCAACCGTGATCTAGTCGTTGGCACTAATACCGAGAAATAACACGACATGAAGCATGGCTGTTTAAATACTTGGAACTATAGCGGCCATTTACGCCACATCGAGATTCGATCATGAATCGGTTACGCTAAATGGATGTGGATTCAGTGGAACAGAATGGGTATAATCCAATTAGGATTCTGAAAAGCCATTATCAGCTTTCAGTTTCAAGACAAAGACGCTGTGCGAGAGCTACTGGATAAATGTATCCCATTACACATTTTCGTGGAATGGTACATCGAAAAAAACACAAATTCAAACTACAGACTGGGTTTGCAGGTATATTTTTTCACAGCAGGATTCTTCATGTGTTCAAACTACTTGTTTCGAAGCCATGAAATTTTTCGAAGGTATCTATAGGGGCCATTGCTACGGACGGCAGCTTCTTTGGTCTCATCATTTCCCTCAACACTTCAGCTAACAGTAGAAACTACAAAAATTTCACGGTTTCGAAAACGGCATGAAGGAAACAGAGTGAGAGAAAATATGTTTCAAACGGATTAAATGATTTCGTAAGCACAATAGCCAGCTCCCGATGTTATCAAAATGTCAAAGAAACTAGATTAGCTCGGATGGGTCAAGCTTTTCGACATACTGAAGTTTTCGCGGTCTGGTAATAAACTTCCGAGATGAATCGCTGACATTTCCAAGCAGTTCAACGCCATATTTACAACCTTAAGCAAAATAAACCAAACGTGGAAACAGTGTTGATGTGGCCTAGCTTGCATAGACAACAAATGCGCAGTCATCTACAGAGAAGCCAAATACTGTGCAACCGATAAGGAGTTAGCACGAAAAAGGTGAAACAGTTAACAACGGAACAAGTCTAATTTTCGAAATAATGTTAAACAACCTCTGTTTAAGAAAGGTTGCTTTTTTCGACTCACTGCTGTCATCACTATATTCTCGATGCTGTTCAAAGCTTCCTAAGGCACTCGCTTCCTCTTCCCTAAACACTGGAGTAAAATCGTTCATCATATTCGCTTACCAACCAAGTTAAACGTAGCTGTAGCATTCAGAAATATTCCTTCGGCTGAGCATGAATGGAGCATACGAATTCAATTCGTCCCTTATGAACATCGTTTATTCGAGATTCAATCGAGATCAGTTTTTCCACAGGCGTTTTCAATGGCAGCAAACATTCGTTCCGCTTAACTAATGTTTGGTGTAAAAAGAACGACGTCATCAGCAAAAAGATGGTATAACTGTCGATCATCGATCTTCACTCCCATACTGTCCAATCCTAATGGTGACATTATATTAACGAGGGTGGCAGCAAGTAAATTTGGCGAGATGGTTTGGTTGTACCCAACACTACCTTATACGTCGAACTCAATAGCGCTATAAAATGGTGGTATTTTAGCTGTGGAATTTCTAGATGCCTTATGGAGAATAACTTCAATAGCTGAGATATTTGCAAAACTCCCGACCGCATGTGGCTGTGGTGGGGAATGAGCACACTATTGCGCTATTATCCTTTACGGGGAGTAACGCATTCACCAACACGCCATGCGGGTCGTTCTTTTCGCCTGTATCTCAGCTACTTTCATCGATCTTTTGCCAACAGCAACCACCTACCAGCGGGATTCATCTAGGGTGTCCAAATCGGCAACGAACCCAGTTAAGCTGAGGCCGCAGTTATAATCACAATTTCAACTTACTATTTACTGCCTACTCTTTTTAATGACAAGGTATATATAGCGAAATATGACTTCAATGATGATGAGATATTTGCAAAACTCCAGACCGCAAGTGTTTGCGGTGGTAAACGAATGCGCTACTACTACGAACTACGAAGGACCCGCATGGTGTGATGGTGAACGCGTTACTCCCCGGAAAGGACAATAGCGCGTTCGTTCCCCACCGCAGACACCTGCGGTCCGGAGTTTTGCAAATATCTCAGCATCAATGAAGTTATATTTCGCAATATACACTTTGCCATTAAAAATAGTAGGCAGTAAATAATAAGTTAAGCTTATGAAGAATGTTGATACACCGTGCCAAATCGCTCTGGCTTTCAAGGGCTTCCATAACCACTTTTATATCAGCTGATTCAAAAACTTGCTTTAAACAGACGAAAGTAAGACAGAGCTGGCTGCTTTATTCACGCGAGTCTTCAATGAGTCTTATTATCGTATGGTTGTTGTCCATTGCAATGAATTCTCTTCAGATCCTGCTTGCTCGCATTGTCCATCGTCCAGTGCTCTGTCAGTCATATCTGGGACGACACGAGTGAAGAGTTTATAGAAAACAGACGGCAATAAAATTGTGCGCAAGTTTCCGATATCGTAAAAAAGACCATTCATGAAAAATCACACAGTCTTGCTAGTGTTCTACTAAAAAATAAACTTTGCATTCTGACAGATGTTTTGTGAACAGCCGAGCCACTGGAGGCGACCTACGACTGGGAAAAGGTTCGTCAGATATTCACCACTTTTCTGTGTTGTTTAAATCTTTAAGAAGCAAATATCACGTCTAACTTTGTAACGGAAAAGCGATGAGATAAAATATTCACCCTTCCTCATTTTATTCCATTTGAGGACAGGAGAACGTGGTTACTGAAAAGCTTCAAGCACTAGCCGCGTGAATGATTTCCTCTTTTACCCTTCAAGAAGCAGTAGCAGTTTCGTTTAGGTCTCGGAATGCAACCATCTTGGCTTTGTTATAGGTCAAGTTTCGATGGATTTTGCCAGCGATATTCTTGGCTTCTGAAGCTCCGACGATAACCGCTACTCTGAACTCTTTAAGACATTATTTTGCCGCTGTGTCCATTGTTTTGCAAGCCCGAAAGTTAGCAGGTGGTGACTGTAGCTCGTGCAACTCCACGGTGGGGTATCAGCCCGTGTCCGGAACCATGCATCTCTTAAAAATTCCCAGACTCTCATTTTCCATAAGACGTAGAGCGGCTCTATAAGGCAAGAACGGCATCTTCCAAACACCCGAATTGAATAAGTTCTAGTTTATGATGGTTTTAGGAAACAGTGTTTTGAAATGAGCCGTTTTTTCTTCTTTAAGAAAAAAGCATAAGAGAGGAGACAATCCTATCAAGTGTAGAATTTTTGAGAAAGCAGCAATATTTACAAGGCAAAACGTAAGATTTAAAATGATGTGTTCTACATTGTACAGATCTCCCTCATATGAGGGGTTCCGATAGCCAGTTAGTCGCGAGGCTAGGCGGCGTGTCACCAAGTGGCGGATAGGGGCTTAATCGCGGACCAAAAGCGACCTTTGCTTCCCTGAGACGCAGGTGGATTCAGGGGATGAGCTCCCTGCTTCTGATGCGCCGGTTTGGCACATAGTTTCTGCCTTTCCTAGGCGTATTCATGCATGCGTATGTGGGTGCGTCCTCGCTTATGCGGATTGAATTTTACCAGTCAATTCGGCCAAAGCCTGCAATCAAGTGATAGGGAAGTATATGGGAGGCGGTAAGGAGCCGTCTCCAACAAATAAGCTTCACGTCTACTCTGGGAGAGCCAGGCAAGCTACCCGTGAGTGTACATAGCCCCAATGTTCAGACCCCAGCAAGCTATACGTGGGTATCAAAATTCTAAACGCAGTAAAAAAACGGGCCTCATTCCCTAACTCCGAAAGAACCCACAATTTCGCATCGTTGGGTAGGACGAGTACGGAGAGGCTGCGAAAATCTCAGGCCCAATGGAAGCTGCCTGGATCACGAAGAACTAAGGTGACGATCCGTACCTACAATGCACGTACACTTGCATCCCAGACCTCGATAGAAGAGTTGCTCAAGCGAGCAAAAAGGATAAGGTATGACGTCATCAGCCTGGCCGAGATAAAACGACGCCACCCATTCAATGCCGTCTATGACACCGGAGAAGAACTGTTCCTTGAAACATGCGACAGTAGAGGAGTCGGCGGCGTCGGCGTTCTCATCAACTCCAGTTTGTCCATGAACATCAATTCATTAGAACAGCTATCAACCCGAATCGGACCTTTAGGATTAAACAGATGTAGATCAGTACCGGCTCTGAAAATCTTCGTCGTTTACGCTCCGACATCAAACAGTGATGAAAAAAAGTCGAAGCATTCTAGTTGAACTTAGAGAAGTTCTAAAGAGAAGACCATAGGTCGTCTTTAAAAATTTCAACGCCAAGATTGGACCAAGAACAACGTCTGAGAACCATGACATTGAGACCCACAGATTAGAATGGAATGAACAGGGTGAGCGGCTGCCTGAGTTTATCATATCGACCAAAACAATCCATGGTAACTCGCAATTTCCAGAAGCCCCGCCCTCAACGATGGACGTGGGAGTCTCCCAACGGAGAGTACCATAGCGAAATAGACCACATCATAGTGAATAGAAGGTTTTGCGTAACTGATATCGCTATAGTCCCAAAATCGTACACGGGATCAGACTATCGCCTTCTTCGTGAAAGATTCTATTTCTCGCGGGAAGAAGAATAAGCCACTAAATTCAAAAACCTAAGTCCCACAACCACCATAAACTGGGATTTATTCAATTCATTAGTCGGCTGTTGGGAAGATGCCGTTGTCGATAACATCGACGAAGAATACGATCGGCTCATTCAACATCTTCGCGTTAGAGCTATGAAAGCTGAGAGTTTGAAATTCACAAAGAAACGTCTGTTTCTAGAAATACTCGAGCTGATACGCCAGCGTGGAGTCGCACGAGCTGTAGGCAACCGCAAACCAACGTCCGAGCCCGACATGCCATTTCGCCGGTGAAAAATTGAACAGCACCAGGTCCGGACAGGGTAAGATCAGAACACCTAAAGAGCCCGCCGCCAGTTTTCGTAAACACACTGGCCCGGTTATTCACACGTTACCTCTCTGAATGCAAGGTCCTTTCTCAGTGGAGGACCAGTAGGATCGTGTTATTATTGTTTAAAAAGCATGGCCTACACGATATCGGCAACTATCGCCCAATCTGCTTACTGCCTGTCGTCTACAAACTTTCACTTGAGTTATCCTGAACAGGATTGACAGAACACTGTGCCAAGGGTAGTCATGTGAGCGAGCAGGGTTTCGAACAGGATTTAGTACGATGGGCCACATCCAAACGATAACAAGACTAATTGAAGTATCGCTAGAGTACAAAAGACCGCTCGGTCTCACTTTCATCAATTTAAAAAACCCCTTCGACTCAATTGAGATAGAAGCAGTCATGGAAGCTTTTTAAAGCTAAGAAGTCCCTACTCGGTACATAAAGATTCATTTACATAAGCGTCAAAAGTGGGTTAGGCAAGGCGATACCATCTCGTCAAAACTAATCCCCGCCACCCTCGAGAACGTCTTGCGAGCATTGGAATAGGATAATATGGGAATGAAAATCGATGGCCGGCAGGTGCACCACTATCGTTTTGCTGATGGCATCGTCCTTGTAACATCAAACATTAGCCAAGCTGCACGTATGCTTGCCGACTTTCATAAAGCCTGTGGAAAGACTGGTCTACGTCTGAATCTCACAAAAACGATGTTCATGAAGAACGGATTGGATTTGCATGCCCCATTTACGCTTAACGGAATAGATATCTTTGAAGGCTCCAGTTATGTCTATCTAGGTTATGAAATAAATATGATGAACGACTTAGCTCCAGAGCTGAGCAGAAGGAAACGAGCAGCTCGGGAAGCTATCAGGAGCATCGAGGATGTAGTGAAGAGAACAAAGAACACCCGACTCCGTTCTTACCTTTTCGACTCAACGGTACTACCAGCTCCGACTTGTATGCGTTAGAAACCTGTTCGCAGCATATGCCGGATGAAAGGTCAATCAGCGTTGTCGAACGCGCAGTTGAAAGGGCGATGCTAGGAGTATCCCGTTTCACACAAGTAAGGGATGGGATCCGAAGCTCCGATCTTCGTCAACGATCGAGAACCAAAGACGCCAAACAGTCGAAGATAAGGTGAGCCGGACACGTAATGCGTATGAATGACAACCGATGGCCGAGAGCCGTTACTGACTGGATTGCTCGGGATGTCAAACGCACTGCAGGAAGGCCACCTACCCGATGGCCAGAGTTCTTGACGAAAAGCCTAGGAAAAAGATATGATGCTCGACGAGTCCCTACAATAAGCAGAAAACCCAGTAGGCTACTCTTGCGCTCGACATGGAAAAATGGAAGATTTATTGGCGCCCGCACGAGTCACTCGACGATCAACAGGGCTGCAGATGACGCAGGTACGCTCTCCATTGCCAGACTCCCATGCCCACAGTTGAAAGTGGCGCTTCTGGAATTGGCTGTTATAATAAATGTTCTTAGTCGTTGTCATAAACTAAGTAAGCTGCTGACCCTGCATCCATGCTAATACATGCACCCAAATGTGACGCTCTTCAGAGATTTTTCTGAGCACAATCTTAGCGTTAAAATCTCTAATGATGACTTGAAGACGTTAACCTTAAGAAATGCATGGCCTTCTCTGTAAAACATCTCGAAGTTTATATGAAACACTTTGAGTACGTTCTCGTCATTGTTTGATGCCGGTGCGTAGACGAGGAATATTATCACATTCACTGATTATCCACATCCCTTCAACTACAAACTCCCAATTCAGGGTGTTAGTTGCTCGGATGGATCGACGTTCATGGCCAAACTCGTGTTTACGAGAATTCCGACCACCGGCTCCTCTATTGGCGCCTTTTCCAAGAAACAGTTCTCCGGTGTTATAGACGTCCTCGAATACATATCTTTATTCGTAGAGCGTACACAAAGGCCCCTTTTAGAAAAGAGAACGTCGACAACGTGCGCGTGGAAAGAAGCCAGTTGAAAGAAAAAATGAATGTTGACAGTATAACCTTTAACTTAAAGGGAAAACGTCTTTAATGCAAGAAAGGTTAAACAATCCTTAACACAACTGATTTTTTTAGATATATGCACTACACCAGAAATATCCTCTAAACGTTTGCCGCCTCATCGTCGCTGAGAGGTGTTCCTGGGTGTCGGGTTGCGATGTGCAAAGGTGGATTCATCCCCCAACGAGGTCTCCCAAGCTGAGAAGGAATTCGGCGTTTTTATCAGGAACTACAGCTAAAGTAAATCATACGAGGATCCACCACTGTCCTGGTCTCAAACTAGTCGCATAGTGGCAAATCTTCCTCTGATCCACAAAGACAGCGACTGGCCGTCGTAGTGACGACCTGGGGCAGACCTTGGCTAGGTTAACCTCGGGAACCCAAGGAACCACAATGGCTAAACCAGGAAAACTTCGAAAGAATGGAAATTAGGTTGGGGGCCACACAACCAGTGAAGATGGGCCATCGAAGGGTCCACGTGCCATGAATCTATGAAAAAAGAACAAAGCATTCAACTCAGCAAAACGATAAAAAGTAAAAAACAAACATTCAATATCTCGCCTAATTAAGGGTTTAAAACAGTACCTGCTACTATCAACATGAAATCCTTTTTCTCGAGTTTCGCGATGATTCGCAAAACCAGACGCTGACGAATCTGCAGTTCCAGTGTGATGGTCCAACACCGAATTCTGAACAGACAAGGACGAAATGAATTTCAAAATAACACTACGGGACCAAAAGGAGAGGTTAGGTGACAAACGTGTATATTTTCCCTCGCGATACCTTGAAATGATAAAAAACACTTTTCATGCTGATCTGTGCATCCAAAGCATTTATGGCTAGATTAACCTGGTTCTTTAGGGTGACCTGCTGCACATTAACACACGATGCTTGAAAGAAACTAGGCGAGAACAACAAGTGATAGAATCTATTAAATATGACAAAAGGATTTCAACGAATCAGTGGCGAACTTGAAGCACTTCTTTTGCTTCTGGCAAGCAATTCGAATCAGCAACAAATTAGAGGTTGTTTACCGACTAACATGGTTAAGGAACGCTATCCGTTTTAAGCCTCATACTTGTTTAACTTAGGCGCACACTTTCCTTGAGCCATTTGTCTGCTACGACTATTTCGCACTATAGTGCGTAAAGACAAAAAAAAACAATGTAGAGCAGCTAAATACACTGAGGTAGGTTTGCGCAGCCCTGCAGCTGAGCTCGGCTTGAAACTGGTATTTCTCACCTGAGGTGTACCACGAGAGGTCAAAGCCGGCTCATCGTTTTCAAGAGTTGGAGAACCTCGTCTCAGCATAGTAGACTAAATGATACATATGTGAGTTATAAACAAAGCTGGAAAGTGTTAAATCGTCCTCTTTAACGCAAGCGAAACAATCAAGCTTAAGACTGCTTTAATCTTTGCACTAAAACAGAATCAGTGGGACGGTAGAATTTATTCCACTTATTCTAACTGCCTTTACGAGCCCAAATATTGTAGAAGAGGCCCCAAAATTCAAGTTTGCTAAAAAAAAAGTTGGAGGACCAGAAAATAACACGTTATTTATGACAAACTATTAAATCTAGAAACAATCGGAAAACATTTGCAAAGAGATAGAGGCTACTGGGAACTGGGTACTTTCAAGCCAAAAACGGTTTCCTTTATTTCGAAGCCGACTTTCCTCGAACCTCGGTATCACTAATCAATATGTATTCTTTCTTTGATGAGCTTACACGAGGTTGATAATGATAATGGTTTCCTTTATGTCTGGTTCCCCCATGGTGTTTGGGTTCACGTTTCCTCAGTTTTCTTATACAAAAAGTAAACTGGAAATTTTTAGAACTTTACTATAGAAAACGAAAAAACAAGAAATACAACGATTAGAATTAAAACTGCAAACACTTTGCAATGCTGAGATATTTGCAAAACTCCGGATCGTAGGTGTCTGCGGTGGGTAACGAACACGCTATTGTCCTTCACGGGGAGTAACGCGTTCATCACCACACCATGCGGGTCCTTCGTTTTGCCTGTCTCTCAGCTACTTCTATCGATAACCGTACCAGCGTAATTGCTGATGGCAACTGATCGGTAGAACTATAGAGGATAATCTTCGTGAAGAGCTTGTAGAGTACACTTAACAAGCATATGGGACGATAGTTATGAAGATCCCTTTGGTCTCCTTTCTTGGAAAGGTTGACCGCGCGAGACGTCCTCCACTGGTCTGGGATTTTTTCCTTTTGAAGGTAGCCTGTCATATGATTTTCGAGAAGTACATGCATATTGTGGCCTCCAACTCTAAGGAACTCGGTGGTGATATTGTCTGGTCTTGGAGCTGTGCCTCTTTACATGCTTTCTATCGCAACTCGAACCTCCGATGAAAGAATTCCAGGTGGTTTTTTTCCAACGGGGACATAAAGGTCCGAAACGGAGATTGTGGAACGGAAAAGGTTAGTGAAGAACGTTTCCGCTATTAATTCCATATCATGGCAGAAAGTTTTAACGATCCCATCTTCTATGGACCGCAGGTGTCTTTGGTGGAGAACGAAGGCGCTATTGTCCTTTCCGGGAAATAACGCGCTCACCACCACACCATGCGCATATCAAGGACATTGTATGAGGCGCAACCAGTCGAGCAAGCAGGATTTCGAAAAGGATTTTGCTGCATGGACTACATCCGCACCGTGTTCAGGATCATCGAAGTTTGTTGGGATACCACTTGCCTCTAGTCCTAACCTTTGTCGACTATGAAAAAACGCTTAACAGTGTCGAAACGAATGCAATCCTATCAGCGCTCGTCGACCAAGGAGTGGAGCCGTCCTACATAAGGACTCTGCCCGACTGTTATCGGAACTGCACTACGAAAGTACAGCTTTTCCATCGACCCCTTACAATACCCATAGGAAAAGGGGCTCGTCAGGGAGACACAATATCGCCAAAGCTGTTCAGTGCTGCACTGAAGTGGATAATGAAGGCACTCGATTGGAATGAGAAAAGCATACGTATTGATGAGAAATTCCTATGAAACCTTCGTTTTGCCGACGACATTGTCATCTTCTCAGGAAGTACTATCGAAGCAGAGGTGATGATCAACGAACTCAACGAAGCGGAGAAAAAGACCGGACTTCGCATAAACCAAAAGAAGACCCAGTTCATGAAAAACCAATGGTGCGAAAGCGAAAAAATTGAATTGGATAGCTCTCTCATTGCAGAGACCACCTCGTAC